TAATATGTTGGTGTCAATCATTCTTGTCAATCATTAATCTATTTGTCTCAATTAGAAAGAAACTAAATAACTCACGATAACATGTGTGTTCTTTGATGCAGGCTTTCATTCTTGTTAATCTGGAAATCCAATCCAAAATCAAATGGGATCTTCCCGACCCATCACGCATCCTTCCACAAGTTTTGTAAAAAATCCATGAATTTGTTTTTGTGGGATCTTTCTTACAAACAAACAAACAAACCGGGCGAACAGACAAAGTGACAGGTTCGTTTACTGTGTGTGCTAGTGACTCGTGCATAGAACATGAGTTTCTTTTCTGTTTCTCTTCATTGAAACACACAGGCCACAAGAGGTCTCAGTTTGGGCGGGGACAGATCATCACAGTGGGGGATTGGTGGAATCCATCTGTCAATCAAGCTGAGTGTCCGACCAGGGTGCTGTGGGCGGGATCGGACCCCAGAGCTGACGGATGTGCTCAGGGATACTAGACACATGTACTGACCCGCTCTCATCTCCTCTGACGGTTTGAGTTTCTTCCAGATCTTTATCACTGAGTAATGTTGACTCTGAGTCATGTTTCAGTAAATGAAATCAAACGAGAATGAAACACGTCCTCTTCAGTGCAGTTAACAAGCAGACAAACTGTTCAAAAGGTTTTTTGCCTGGTCAGTCAGCTGATTGATGTTATTACCAAATGTAACTTGAGAAGGATTCAGGTTTATAAAACTCCTAGTGCCTCATTTCATCACGTTCCTTTTTAGACTGAAATCAATATTTGTTCTGTTTACCTCATTTATTTGACCAGATTTGTCCTCTGCAGGATGTTGCTTTAGTTTATAAAATCAAACCCTGCACCACATTTCATAGCTTCATTTTAAGATTCAGGTTTTGACTTGTTCTTAACAGAAACAGTGTTCGTCTCTCGGATTAGTTGCTGCTGATCTTGTGTTTGTCAGTTTCTTTATAGTTTTCACTGTATTTTATGATGAAACTAAGGTTAAATCCCGTAATGTCATGATGTGAATAAGTGTCACATTCCTTTTTTTTTTAAATTTTCCTACACTTTAAAATGAAGTGTACTGTATGTGTCTCTTTATGAAGAACTGATTCAACAGTCAGTATTTCAAATGACCTGTGGTGCTAAATTAAATGAAAATTACTCTTTTAAACATGTTTTGCAAATGAGGATGAAATGTTTATTTCCTCTGAAGCTATGCTTAGTTCTCACCATCATGAGTGCATCTCTGCTGGTGGAGCTGTAACAGTATTCAGTTCTGTACATAAGCACACGTTTGAGGTACTTGTACTTCTACTCCCCTACCTCTCAGAAGAAAATGTTGTACTTTTTTACTCCGCTACATTTTTCTGACAGCTTTAATTACAGATGTCAGTTTAAACCACGTATCTCTAGATGTGTTGATGTTGAAAGTTTTTTTGATGAACTTGATGTGTTGAGAAAGTCACACAATAAAAGAAATTCCAAGTTATCCCTGGAGAAACATTACATATCTTTATATTGATTCAATTCTCTCAGGCTTTCTCCAGATAACTGGCTAATTTACAAGTTTCATACTCAAACAGCCAAATCAATCTTATCATCATCATCATCATCCATATTTACAAAATCTCACAAAACACATACAGATTATTTCTTTATTCACAGAGAACAGAACAATGTTAGAATATCTAAAAATACAGTATTATCAACAGAAGAAAACTCTAAATTAAAAAAGACTGCACATGCGTGGCTTGTGTGGTAAACAGCTTTTAAGCCACTTAAATCCTCGGAGCAGGCCTCTCAGACGTGTTTCTACTGCCGAGCAAATCGCTCGATGTGGAGACGACGATGCTGGACTTTGTTTCAGCGTTGATCTGCTTACTGTTCCTGGTACCGGACGTTTACTCACCACAAAGAACCATATGTTCTGTCGCCCAAAAACACAGGCTCTGTTTTACATGTTGCTACTTGTCCTTTTTTAATGCAGCTTGTTTGTGGTTAACTGCAGTTTATCTGGATGTGCAGCATTCCGGCCGGATTAAATGTACTTTAAAACTGGGCCATGGCAACACACACTAACCGTGTCTGTGGTTTTCTGACATACAGTAGCACACGCTTGTGTCATGTTGTGACCCATTTACCTACATACACCTGCTGAGCTGCTGTGTCATTCTGACCTACATAGAATGTTATCATAACGCAAGTCTTTACGAGGGAATTTGGAAAATATAAGAAACAATTTGATTCTACTGCCTCGTTGTTCGATGACAAGCTTATACGTGAACTTCTGCCGTTTCTAAAAAAAAAAAAAGTGGAATTTGTTTGTCACCTTGAAATACGTTAATAGAGTTAAACGAAATCTCTACTACATTTAGGCAACTTCAATCTCAAATTTAGACGCATCATCTTTCATAGTTTTGGAAATCTTTCGATTTTGGACGGTCAATGTGTGAAATAATAATTTTCCAGATTCACTTTCAGCAGTGGGACCTTGTTTCTTTATATTTTACAGACTAATCACATTCACTGTACAAATGTGTTCTCCATGTAGGAAAGGGGATTAGCAAAGAATGCAGAGATTATGTATTAAACATGTAAATCTGTTGTTATGATTTAGTAATTCTGAGGGAAATTCCTTCTTTAGAGAGCTGATTGAGGCCCTGCTGGCTGTGGGAAACACACACACACACACACACACACACCACATATCACACACACACACACACACACACACACACACACACACACAAACACACAAACACACACAAACACATTGACTTGCTAGATTTTTCCCCATAACTGTCAGCTTCCTTTCTGTGTCATCGTTGTGTCGTGTTACCCCCTTAGTAAAAGAAGCAGCATCTGTTCAGCACTAATACACACACACACACACACACACACACACACACACACACACACACACACACACAAACACACATTCAGCAGCAAACTCTCGTCATTGGTTTGCGTTTCCTGGCTCCACAGCTGCTCTGACCCTTCCCTCCCCTGCATCTCTTCCTTCGCGGGTCTCCTCTGCCCACTCCACTCCTCTGCTCTCTTGCCTGCGGTCGTGCGTGCGTCCTTTGGGGGAACAATGTGTTGTTCCGTGGGCTTCGCCCGGTCTCTGGGTCTGGCCCTGCTGCCTCTGGCCCTCTCCTGTATCCTTGCCAACCTGCTGCTGCTGTTTCCTATGGGAGAAATCTCCTACATCCAACAGAACCGCCTGGCCAGCTACATCTGGTACTTTGGTGGACTAGGAGGCGGAGGAATCCTGGTGAGTAGAAACTAGAAGAAGCATGTTTTCTGAATTCTTTCTCAGTTTAGTTAGACACGGACGTCTTCTAGATACGTCATCTAAATCATTTTGTTATATTTATTCTATTGGCGGCTGTTTTACTCAGATTATTCTAACGGCCACTTTAATTTTCTGGGAAAACCAAACGTAGCACATGGCAGCGACCTTACCGACAGCTGACTGCATTCTAAGCTCCAGTTATTCCATTTCATCGCCAATATTTTGACCACACTTCAATTAAGCTCCAAAATATAGTGGCAACTTCAACTTAACAAAATGGAGCCTTCAAAAACCTCAAGAGACTTTAACTGGAGGCAATTTAAAGTTATCAACAATTATTGAAGTTATTTAAAAAAGTTTATTTAGTAAAGTAAAAAAATCAATATGTAGAATTAATATATTTCTTTCTGAATGAGGTTGAAAAAACTTTGATTTACTTGTGATGCAGGCACAGGGAGCTGCAATTTTTGAGCGGTGCCATGGGATCAGATTGTCTCGTATTGGCCCCTCCCTTCCTGCAGGTGCACAATGGAAGTGAGGGATTTGGCTCCATGCTTTTAAAACTTAGAAATACAAGTTATGATATATGATCTGATTTTAATTATGACAAAAATAGAGTCGTTTACTAATGAATGAAGAGTGCAGATTAAAAGAGGAGGAGGAGGATGATTTAAATGTGGCGACTTTGTTCCCCTCATCAAATAATCAGATTGGATTATTTGGTGCGTCAGAGGCTGAAATGGGATGAAATGGGTGCAGGTTTAATTGAGGTCACTGGTACCGAGATCAGTCAGAGAAACTCTCGTGAACTAACGATGAGATTCTCAAAACGAGCGACTTTCTTTGAAACCTGCAACACATCCACAGATTGTTTGACGGAGTTGGAACCATGTGACAGAAGAGACTCTGCTGTGTTATGAATTCCCTCTTTTCCTCCCTCATTGTGCAGATTCAGACACTGGTACATGTCGACCCAGTGGTGGCAGGGTCTTTGTAGCCTCTTTAGTTTTCTCACTTCCTCTTTATTATACGGTTTGTATACAACAAGTGCTGCTTTACATTTCAACTAGATTTTTCTTACTTTGCTACTCAATGTGCACACAACAGAAGTTTTAACTCCTAAAAAAAACAGTTTAGCACCAGTAAGATCATTATTTTGTCTTTAGCACCATTCAGACGGAGCGTGTGTTTGTGTTTGTGCGTCGAGAACAATGCTGTGTTGTGTGAGTTTGCAGTTAATCTGTGTGCTCCACATGCAGCTGATCTGACGGGTTAACACTCCCACTGAGCAGAAAGGTTCTTTCAGTTTGGTCTCAAGCAGGAACAGAGGAGAGATTGTTTTTCTTCTCCAGACGAGATTAACTGAGCTGAATGTTCACTCTGTAGGATACTTTCTTTATTTCGTGTAAGAGGTACAAGTAAAAAGAAAGGTTAGAGCAAGTGAGCATGCAACTGAATATTCTTTATTTGTGTTTGAACATTTCATACAAGGCATTTCTCACCTGCTTGACTTCCTTGTGGATTTTTATTCGTCAGGTTTTGAAGAAGCTGGGCGTGACCATATTCATCATTATTTCAAAAACTTGATTTAACAGCAGCTTCCTTTATAAGTAAAAAAAATAATAATCTGAATTTAAGGCCTTAAAAAATGTCGAATACATTAAAACATTAAATCTTAAACATCTTTAGGTTTTAATTATGTCAATATGCGTTTAACACTATTTTATTTCTGTTATCACGTCAAGTCGTCACGTGATGATGCTGAAGCTGCTTCATGCAAAAGAGGGATTTTGCTTCATGAACTGAAGGAATATTAATTCTTGTAAATCTGAACTTTACATAAAATATTGAGTTTGTATTGATATCAAATAGGAGAAACAGCAAATGGGAGCAGACCACAAAAAGTCCGACCCTGCATCGTCTTAATAAGATAGAAATACTTTTACAGCAGGGGAATTCAGAAGTAAATATCCAGTAAGAGCCAATCTCAAATTATAGCTTGTATCTTGGCCGAACTCATAATTTAAAAGTACACTGTAATTACATCAGTTACCTAGTAATTATGTAATTATGTGATAACTTCTCAACTGTCCCATTAACCTTTGCAGAGGGTGTGGGGAGTAACCCAAGAAAGAAGCCAGAACATTTTGGCTCAGATTTGTGTTTTGGCAAATCCAGGAAATGTATTTTTCACTTCCTTTAACATTGCAAGTTTTTTTTATTTTTTTTATTGGATTTCTCTGAGAATAATTCATGGATCTCATTTAAAAAAGAAACAGGCATGTTTAGGAGACTGACACATCTTGAATTTAAAGGTTCAGTGTGTNTTTCATCTAAATTATATGAATTGTAGTTTTCTTCACCCCAGAAAAGACCCTTTATATTTAAATACTTTCTATTTACTTCGAGGGGGTCCTCTCTACAGAGGCCGCCATGTTTTTTTTGCAGTCGTCCAAACCTTTGAGTTTTATGAAGACTGAAGCTACCACAGGTTCCCCTTGTAACCTCACCACTAGATTTCACTAAATCCTATACGCCAAACCTTTAAATGTGAATTCATTAGGAGTTGTTTTATAAGGAGTGCCTCTCTTTAGTTCTCCACATGACCTCATCTTCATTTCTGTTTCTCCTCCTTTTTCTGACACAACGTTTGCTCGGCTGCCCTCAGTTTTTCCGTCGTAGTCTTTTGTCTTTCTTTGGGGAATGATAGAATGGTAAAGAGTCAAAGAGCAAACCAAACTCCTCTGAGAAAAATCTATCTTTAGCTCCCTTCCTTCCCTCCCTCCCTCGCTCGTATTTCCCCTCTTCCTCTCCTTCTTTCTCGCTGAGCACTTCCCTCCACATTGTCAGCCCTTCTCTCCCTCCCTCTCTCCCTCTCCCTCTCTCTCTCTCTCTCTTGTAAAGGATGACGTTTAGCGGGACATCCAGGATGTGAACATAAAGATGCTTATGATCTCCGTGTGTGTGTGTTGAACCTTGGGAACTTCCCTCCCTCTGTTAGGATGTGATTTAAAGACAACAGCACAGGAAAGAGGAGGAGAGGGGACGAGAGACACAAACAGATGTAGAGTTGTCTCCGTTAGTGTCTCAGCTGCTGTAACACAGCGTTTATGGAGCCATTGTTCTTGTTTGTCCATCATAATTATATTCCACCATAAATCATGTCTCTTTTAATTCAGCATGTCCTGACTTTATGGTTTTACAGCTCTGACTGAAACTATGTTTTTAGCAACGCACTGTGTTTGAATGTGGTTCCACAGAAGATGAAAGTTATTGACTCTTTCTCTTCCAACAACAGTTCACTAATTCTGTGGTAATATTAAAACTGAGTCCCTGTTTACTGCATCGTTTACTGTATGTGATTTAAGGATTTGAAGGAGACAGATTATGTCTTTGCAGTTTTTCTCCTTCCTCTGTGTTATATAGTTCTTTTGTGTGTAAAACTTCTGCAAAGTAAAAAAATTAGTTTTTAAAAGTTAAAGGGAGTTCTTCTCCTGCACAGGAAACTCCTCATCAGACGTCCTTCCAGGGCATCTGGTAGACATGTGACATCATAATGTCCCACATTTGCATATTACAGGCCTAGCAGCTAGTCACTGGCACGCCCGCTCACACCCAAACATCTCAGCTATAAACACGTAAAAACTATAAGGCTGAAACAGGAACGTAAAAAAAATAAAATAAATCTATGGTCAAATAAATTAAACTGTATAGTAATAAAACAATCATTATATATAATCAGTATAAAAAACTATTTCACTGACAGACAGATTAACATTAAAAAAGCGAAAGGGCAAATCTCGATTTATCTGAAAACACATCCTCGTAATTGTTCTTTATTTTGTCGCTGCACATCATGTCAACGTCACGCATGAGAAAATCATGTGAAGTATTTGTTCAGGAATTGTAGTGAAACCTTTTCCTTTGTGTGTGTTTGCAGATGTTGCTTCCAGCTGTTGTCTTCATCACTCTGGGGAAATGTAGCTGCTGCTGGAATGAGAGTTTGATGGTGAGACGCTTATTAATTAATTTATTATGCTCTAAATAAATAGGTTGGTAATTCAGTCAAGGACCTTGTGCAAGTATGTAGGGTGTGTACAGTGTGTCACACTAGTTGTGTCATAGAAATATGTTTGGCATGTATTTAAAATTGTTTCACAATGTCAAAACAGAATACCCATATATCTAAATGATCATGTTAATATATGTATCTTAATAAGGTAATTCATATAATGCTATCTGACACTGTGAAGTGCAAACTGACAGCTGCTCTCTGGATATAAAGCCAGTCATGTATTTGCGTTTCAGTAGCTCTATTCCTGTTTCTTAATTAAAACAATTATTTATCTAATATTTATTTTTCATTTAGCTTCAATTTAGCTGTTTTTATAACCTTATACATGAAAAAAAACAAACAGTCGTCATTAAACCACGCTGCTTCTTCTTTGTGGGGGTGGAACGCTAATTCTAATCCAGCTATGATAATCCAGCTATTCAACCAGGATCCCATTGTTGGATAACAAATGAATCTTAAATCACATCCACAGCTGCAATGTTTGTGTCTTTAGTTTAGTTCAGATGTTACGTTTCCTACAAAAGGAAATTATTTTATGCAGCAGAGTGTGTGTGTGTGTGTGTGTGCGTGTGCGCAGCTGTTATCATCTGAGAAATGAAACAGCTGCTTCTTTATAAAAGATGGTCGCACAAATTTCCAGAAAGGCATCCAAACATGTGCGTGTTCTCTGTGTGTCTGCGTTCCCCTAAAGATGTGCGGCTCCGTGCTGGCAGCTGTCGTCGGCCTCGTGGGCTCCGGCTACTGTTTCGTCATATCGGGGTTGGCCTTGGTGCAGGGTCCGCAGTGCTTCACCACGCTCGGATGGTCGTACCCGTTTGTAGACCAGGGGGGCAGGTAGGAAGATTGTTATTGTTATATACTTTAACAGGCTCGTTCAAGCTTTTTTTCACTTTACAACTTAAATATGATGATTAACAAGATACCCAACGAATGATTCCTAATATTACACCATCGATATCAACATCAAAAATGTTGACAGAAACAAGTGGAAAATAAATAAATAATAAAAAGTTTAACGACCACTCAATACTCCGTCTCTGTGACTCACTTTTCACTCTCATCTCTCTCTGTGTTCCAGGTATCTGCTGCAGCCAGAGACGTGGTCGCGGTGTCTCCAGCCCGCTTATATCGTGGAGTGGAACGTGACCCTGCTGTGTGTCTTGCTGGGTTTGGCCGCGCTGGAGTTCATCATCTGTCTCCTTCAGCTCGGCAGCGGTTTAGTCAACGCCGTCTGCCGGCCCTGCTGCTATAAGCAGGAGTACAGTCTGAATATGTAGACAAACACACACACACACACACACTCCCACCTGCGCAGACGTACTGTTTGTGCATCTGTACACTTAAAAAAAGCCTCATCGCCTATAGCAACATTTGTGTGTCCGAGTAGAACACAACACACTGGTGAGACACATTTACACACGCTCTGTCATGGATGTCTGACAACCACTTCAGCTGTGTGTGACCATTTTCAAGTCTGCCCCGGGTAAAGTGGCAAAATCAGTTTGCAGTCATTGATGTTTGTGTGAGTGTGAGTGTGTGTGTGTGTGTGTGTGTGTGTGCGTGCGTGCGTGCCTGCCTGCCTGTGTGCGTGCCTGTGTGCGTGCGTGTGTGTGTGTGTCCACTCCACAGGAAAAGCAGGATGGACTTCATTTGCTCGGGTGGTGAAAGTCAATTTAAAAAGCCCATATGCAAATGATAAAAAAACAATAATGATGATTACAGTAACAATAGAAATAATATTGTAATGTGCAGGACAATAGTTTGCATGGAGGTAATTACTTTATGTCACGCAACAGCCTGTTAGACATAGAACATCTTGATAAAATGACCACGCCTCACAAATGAATGTAACTACATAAGTTTCCTAAGATGCACTGTTGCAACAGTCCAACTTTTAAACATGTTGGACTGTTTATGGGTTCACCATGTGTGTGTTTGTGTGTGTGTGTGTGTTTGTGTGTGTGTGTGTGTGTGTGTGTGTGTGTGTGCATTCGTTCTCAGTTTCACAGTATTTTGTTGTAAATTGTCTTTATTTCCTTCAGATCCTAGTTTAGTGTTAACAGACTTTTTATATATTATTTAGTGACATATTTTTATAATGTGTGTTTCTTTGTGCTGCCTTGAATAATAAAAACAACTGTTTCCATTTCATACATCCAGTGTAATCCATTACAGTGGAGAGAAAAACAATCAGCTGACATTTACACCGAGCTAAGATTCCTCACTGGTGAACAGCAGGTTAAATTCTGCAGAGACGGACGTTCATGTGAGTGTAAAACATAGATTACATCCTGCCTCCTCCATGTTTACAGATGGGACATGGACCAAAGTAAAAAATCAAAGGTTAAATAACGTTTTCTAAAAAATAGTTTCTGTCATTTTAGGTAGGTCTTATCACTGTGATGCATGTTCAAGTATTTCTCATGGGTTTGGTTTTGATTAGTGAACGTCACGATTGGAACTTGAACTTGATATCAACTCAATAACGTGCAGGATGGCATCGTTCCTTTTCGGGAAACTTGACTACTTTCAGGCTTGTCACTGGCCACCGCCTTTATCTGTTTGAAAAACAGTCTGTCCCTGAAGCACAATGAATCCTGGGACAGGCTGACCAGCTGTTGGATCCTTCGCTGCTCTGCCTTGGAAATGGGACCGCCTCTCGCTCAGATGTAATCAGCCTTTAAATGCGTGTTTGCTATGTGACTCGCTCTGTGTCGTAATCTATTCTTGCAGTAACATTTGTGTCCTGGAACTTCCACAGTTGCCCTGTTATTGATCAGGACACAAAGTGAGTAAATACGACCCCAGATCCATGGAGACGAACCCCTACAAGTCATGTTCCAGTAAATGACTTTGCTGTCGCAGTGTATGGAGGCAGTTTTTAAAAAAAAATCTAGGGTACTTAATTAATTATTGATAAACTAGAATGTCGCTCAGGGAGTCCATACCCCCGCCAAGGCTATCTTCCTAAATTCCTGGGTCCACCTAGATGTGTGAAAATCAGATGTTTAAGTAATCAAACCACTTGTTTGGACTAATTTTGTTTATTTGAGGGACTTAATGGTTTCAGGCCTTGTCGTCTTCAACTGGATCAAACGTCAAGAGTTTCTCCAAACAGAACTGCACCAAAGATGTCCGTTTACAATAGCACAGAACATTCCAACAAGTTCCAGCCCGGTGGTGCTGTGATCATGGTCTCCTCACTGCAAGAAGGTTTTAGGTTTGAATCCCTGGGTCTTTCTGTGAGGAGTTTGCTCAAGCTTCTGGCCTCTGTTAAATGGAGACACTGTAAATTGACTGTAGTGTGAGTTTTTCTCTGTGATGCCGCGCCTCTTGGCCAATGTCTGTTGATTGGCTGCAGCCCCTCAGCTTTGGAAATGGATGGATTAAGTAATCGTGTCTGCTCTTACACAAGTTCAAACTGACGATCAAAGGTTGGCTCAAACCCAGTCTGATGATAAGTGACCCCTTTTCCCTGCTTGGATTTTCCCAGCCGAGGGAGTATAAAGACCCCCACAGAGCTCAGGTCTCTTAAGAGACTGAGCCACTTTCAGTTGACTGTCTTCATCTTCACCTGGTGGATCACTGGACAGACTCATCTTCATATCTGGCAGTTTACCCCTTGATTGACCTATCGCTGCCGACACTTATATCATCAGCATGCATGGGTTAGCAGCGTGGAGCTGGTTGTTGCTGTGTTGTGGAGCAGCATGCGTGTCTGGGATGAGGAGAGAGTACTTTCTCAGGATGGAGGAGGTGTTGTGGAACTATGCCCCAAGTGGCATGAACATCATCCATAACCGCACCGTGGAGGCGGACGAGTGAGTAGACAATCATTATTCTTTTATTACAGGCCTTTGATCATAAACAAAGTCAGTCAAACCCCTTTCAGCTCCAGCAGAGCCCCATCCCTGTAAATATGTGAGTGCCACAACTGATTTCCATCCAAATACAATATATTAGTTCAATATGATTTAGAGTGAGACAATACAAAAAGGAAATCAAGCACAAGGAAAAGAACAAAATGTAATTAAACACTAAAGGCAATAATAAAGGAGAAACCCCCCCAGAGAAAAATAAAAGTAAAGGATTAAAAATAGATTTCTCCATATGATATAATTTCAGGTCAGAATCAGTGTCATCCATTTTCTCTAAAAAGGTACGAGAGAAAAAAAAGCCTCAACATTTTTATCCATGACTTAAAAAACATTTAATATTTTGGCTAAACGTACAAATTCTACTGCTCGGATATTGAATATCTCACATCACCTCCACCCTACACGTCAGTAATGATACAGCCGCCAAAAATCTTGAATAAAATCCAAAAGTGATTCAGTATTTTCCATTTGAACCTCCACATCTTTAAATCTGCATGATGAAGGACTGCGTCACAGGACTTTGGGAGCGCGTGCAGCAAAGTTTCAGGGATGACACTGAATGGCCTGGTGGCATAAGCACACTGTCCACTCCTGGCTGACCCTTTGTCCTGTGTGTTCATACTGTTCAAGTCTGGATGATCTTTGTCAACATTATTTTGTCCCAGCTGTCATTGGCCTTAACTTTGAACACCAGCCCTGCAGATGTTTGAGTTCTTTTGCTTTCATGTTATTTGTTGGTGGAGTGGTCCAGAGACATGCAGACAGTGGGTTAGGTTAATTGGAGTCAGACCACCCCTACAGAATAAGCCGTATAGATAATGGATTAGGTTTGTTTTGAAACTACTGTCTGTACAAATGTCCCCATGAGACAATATCCTTGAACCTTTCTATCTCTCTGTGTTTTGGAATAATGAGTCTTTCTAATTGTTGACGTTTTGACAGCGTAAGAAAAGCACGGCTGTAAATAATAAAAAAGAGTTTCAGAGTCCTGATGTTTTTCTTGCTGCCTGTTCTCAGTCCCAGTGATTTTTCTTATGATGACCAATGTCTGCTGTGAAAAAATATTTTGAATTTATTTCCCTTAATATTTGAACTGTAATCCATAGAATAAGAATAAGTAAACACACCATGCTCCCGCTCTCTGCTTGGATCACTCTGTAGAGAAGCCTCTGTTTTTCTAAAGCGAGGCCCCCAGCGGATCGGCTCCACCTACAAGAAGGCTGTTTATAAGCAGTACAGCGATGCCACCTACAGGACACAGGTGGAAAAGCCGGACTGGCTGGGCTACTTGGGACCTCTGCTGATGGCCGAGGAGGGAGACACGCTGATCATCCACCTGAAGAACAGCGCATCCAGACCTTACAGCATCCACGCACATGGACTGAACTACAGCAAGGGCAACGAGGGTGAGGCCTGGATCACAGCACAGGCAGACATGTCTGACGGACCCCTGTGTGACTCTGGTTGCTTGTCTCCTCAGGAGCCCTCTACCCAGATGGAACAGGTCCAGAGCTGAAGCATGACGACTCTGTGGCTCCTGGTGCATCCATGACCTACGAGTGGACCCTCTCTCACTACCACAGCCCAACATCTGAGGACAGCAACTGTCTGACCAGATTCTACCACTCTCATGTCGCCGCTCCAAAAGACATCAACTCAGGACTTATAGGACCCATCATTATCTGTAAAACAGGTACTGGAACATTTAAATCCTGAAAATACCTGGATTATAAATTGGGCCTTGGTGGAAGTACGGACTCCACTGAATGCAAGTTGATGAAGTAGTATTGACAGTAGTTACATTAACTATAAAAAGTGAATTGCATTATTGTGTGATAAAAGTATAAACATAAAATGAAAATAAAAGTACCTTAAATTGGTACTGTAGTATTTACTTGGTTACTTATTCCCTCTCTTTTCTAGGAACCCTGGACTTGCATGGCGACAAGTCAGGCGACTACCTGTACGCGCTGCTGTTCATGGTGTCGGACGAGAACTTCAGCTGGTACCTGGACGAAAACATCAAGACGTACATCACGAATCCAGCCAGAGACCTGAAGGAGGACGAAGATTTCATTGAAAGCAACAAGATGCATGGTGAGGGGCAGCACCACACACACACACACACACACACACACACACATGCAGAAACACACATACACATAAGTAACCCTAAATGTGTGTTGCAGGTATAAACGGTCTTCTGTACGGTAACCTGCCAGGACTGAGCATGTGTCAAGGCAACAAGATTCACTGGCACATGTTTGCATTAGGGAACGAGGTAACTATTACATCATAACTATTAACCAGAATATCTGACTTCTTATTGTGTTGTAACTCCCACCTTGGGGAAAAAGCAGTTTCTGCAAAAGTTAAGAATTATATTCACACTAAATTTGAAAATGTAGAATATAGAGGTATTCAAATAAAATTCAGAGTGGTTCAGCTATAGAACATTTCCTTAAGCAAAGATATGGAACATCATAATGTCTAACGATATTGTTCTAGTTATTTAAATGTCCATGTTCAACAGGTGGACATACACTCAGTTCATTTCCACGGGCAGATCCTGACCACTCAGAACCACCACACAGACACGGTCAGTCTTTCCCCGGGCTCCAGCTTGGTGGCTGAGATGGTCGCAGACAACCCCGGACACTGGCTGCTGACGTGCACGGTCAACGACCATCTGAACGGTGAGCTCACACACAAGGTCGCTCAGGAAAGAAATGTTTCTCAGCACTGTGTGGAAGCTAAAATGGTTTTGTGTTGTTGTTGTTGTTGTTGT